CCGATGTCCGGAATCGACCATGTGCGCCAGAATAGAGCTGTTTATGCTCCTGGCTTCACCTGACTTCACCTTTTCTCAGCCATGCCGAATTCCCTTATCTTTGATATATTATCAGTAGCAGATTCACAAAAAAACAAGTCGGCGCGTCTATGTTTTCTTGCCTTCTTCTTGCCCTTCCGCTATTGTTTCCCTGCAGTGAAGCATTTTCGGCCTTTTTCTTGAAGGATCTAAATGCCCAGCTGCTGATGTCGGAAAGGCTTCTGCGAAACACGAGAAGAAACCATCAGGAAGAGATGAAGGCAACAGAGACAGAGCTGCAGACATTGCGTCAGTCAAGAGAAAAGGCACGGAAAGAAAATGAGGTGCTGAAGCAAAAGGTTACAGAAGAACATGCTGCCCTCACAGCCGCCAGGTAATTGGCTTACGTCTCTGGGAGTACTTTCCCCTAATCAATCACCGTTCCTATTGACTGCACTTACTCAAGGCTGATCTGTTACTTCACTGTTTTGGCCGGTCGACTAACCCCTATCGGTAGGACTGCCTTTGACTTATAATAATAACCTACTTTTAGATTTTCAGTGGCACGACTTTCCATTATTCGTTAAATTCCGCCAAGGTCGAATCCCCATAAACAGTCATCAGTTGCCTGAGTAATAAGATGGATGGAGTTGATGGAGTTGATTCTTTTTAGTTCATTATCACAAATATAAGTTACTTTAATTTAATATTCTTTGGTAGTTTTCAACACAATTCATTTACACTAGTTAACCAAGAAGTAAATGTTTAACCACCAATTTCATAAGACAATTGGGTGGAGGTAGTCGATATTAAGGCGGCCCTACAAGACAGTGTTGCCCCCCTACCTGTGTTAGAGAAGAAAGCCTTACAATGTGGCATCACCGTGTTTTAACAGGAAATGTGTACAGCGATCCTCAAGATTAAGTTGACCCCGGAAAGCTGCATCAATTAATTCCTAGTCAATCTTTTTAGGCACGCGATAGCCGAACTAGAACAAGTTCGAGTCGGCTTTCAGGAGAAACTACGTGACCAGACGGCTGAAAGTGTGAGTCGTTTTTGCACCTTTTTTCCTGTTTTTTTTCTACTTCCATAATTAAGATTGGTCAGCCTAAACCTGGCTTTTGAGAATCGAACTAAAGCCGTTGTCAGTGTCAGACGTAATAATTATAACACGACGGTTTGGCCGATTATTTCAATTATGTTCACCGTGTGCTCCACAACGTGATGGTGCAGGGACGGTGACTTACGCGTGGTTTAGTTTCAAGTGACACTTGACTTTCGCAGCATCTACCGCACTATCTCCTCCCCCCCCCATCGGCCCGAGCCCGGTTTCGAGACAAAGTCAGGGAGTCTGAATCGGCTCCCATGCAGTGGAAGTGTCATAAAAACCACAGGTGACTGGTGCCTGAGCCTGCACCTACGCGTGTCACCAACGCTCCTCTCTCCTCCCATTTTCAGCATTTGTTATGGGAGCACAACCTAATTAACGCCTGTCGCGCCTTGCTAATAGTAGCCTAATGTTTATCTGGCCAACGAGGTCATTATAGAT